TGGGCTCCATGAATGTGCGAGGGAATCAGGATTTGGCACTGAGATTGTAGACTCTTTGGAGCAGGGACCTTGCCTTCTTGTTTTTGTCTGAAAAGCAGCACCACTCGGAACTTTGGCAGTGAATAAATATTAACCGTGCTCCACTGGCCTATGCATGAAGAGAGGAAGGGTGGTCCAGGGGATGGGGTACAAGTGTGGGACTCTAGAGACCCAGGTTCTATTCTTTATACTACCACAGACTCCCTGTGTGACCTCTGTCTAGTCACTGAATCTCTCTGTATCTCAGTTCTTCACCTGTGAAACGGGGATAATAGCACTTCCCTAACTCACAGAGGTGCAGTGAGGATAAACACCTCAAAGCTCGTGAAGTACCTGGATACTACAATAAAGGGGGCCACAGAAACACCCAAAATTGAAGGATCAATAGAAGATGCGATAGAAATTATTTCTTCCATTAAACTATCTGAAATGGGAAATGACTTAGGAGAAAACAACAAAAGGAAAATGCTCTGTGTATGAGTGAGAGGAGAGGCAACAGTTCTTCAAAAAACACGTCCCCCAGCATGACACTAACTCAGGAACGGCTCCTTTCTGTATCGCTCTTCATCAAAGCCCTGCACTACTCTGCTCCAACCTGTGGTCCAAAGGAATGTATCCGTGCTGTAGCTCCACTTACATCAACAAAGTTTCACCCAGCATGAGTTTAGCTAGGTCACTACTCTCAACTCTCCTTGCTCCATCCATTCTATTCAGTAACTTCTCCCTTTCTATGATGTGGAACACTCACCTGTTTAAATTCCTTCCTCAAAACACACGTGCTAATTTGCCTCTCAAAGAAATGCTCTTATTTACTCATGACCAAGAGGTGGGGTGAGGGGGAACCTGCACCACTTTGTGTTGAATCCAGCCTCCTAACATTTTGCGTTTCTGAAGCGTTGTTTAGAGTGGCATCCTTGGATCATCACAGGGACTGAACCCATGACCTCGAGTGCTAAAAGCATGCACCCAGAGGAACAACTTCTTCAGCTGGTAGCTACGACAGACTCATAGTCACTGTGGGACAGTGGGTTACCTTTGCCTCTTGATTTTAAAGCTCATTGGGGGCAGGTAGCTTTTCTCCTTTATGTTCTATGTAATGCCAAGCACACTCTTGAAAATCAACAAATAATAAAAATAATGGAAAATAACACAAAATGGAGGCATGGTTTAAAAAAAAAAAAAAAAAGACCCTGAACTCACCAATACTGTGAAATCTGCCCTAGACACACATACCTTAATGTCGAGACTATGTCAGCATTTGAATGGTTTGTCCTGAAAATCCTTGAACTTGATTGAAAGCATTCATTGGTGTGCATTTATCACACGCTCAATCCACCCAGTCCTTTACAGCCATAGAAGGAAGTGCTGCCCTGACATTAACCTTCAGCTCCTGACAAGTCTCAAGGTGACAGCACAAGCTTGAGGGAGGGAATCTTGGTGCCTTGAAGAGCTTTACTGACAAGTATGTCTCAAGGTAGGCAAATCATTCCGAGCCTGATCCAGTGAGAGGAGGAGGCCTACAGCTTAAAAGCAGCACTAGATGCCATCTAAACAATGACTGCATTAGACTGACTGAATCCAAATCAAAACTGAAAATGGAAGGGTCCTTTAACGTAGCTGAAAAGGCAGAACTAGAACTAATGGCTGGAAGTCAAAGGCAGATGAACTCAGATTAGAAATTAGGCACACATTTTTAAGAGTGAGGGTGATTAACTGCTGGATCCTCCATCTTTTGACATCTTCTAATTATGCTTTAATCTAACACAAGTTTTTGGACTCCATACAGGGGTAACTGGGTGAAATTCTCTGGACTGTGTTATACAGGAGGTCAGACTAGATGATCTAATGGTCCCTTCTGGCCTCAAACTCTGTGAATCTATGAATAAGGAGATTTTGTGCGTGTCAGCCTAGGATACAATGTGAGTGTGATAGGATGTTATAATGACAAAGTCCCTCTGTACGAAATGGTGTAGAAATACATTGTTCTTTTATAAGGCTTGTCAAATGCCAATCTTAAAGCACTTTACAAGCATTAAATAATTCAATCTCACAATACCCAAAGTGGTCAAGAACATCTCACCCAACTTTGGATCTCACCCGAAAGTTGGCACCTCCAGGTGTAGCAGAGCACCCTGTTCACCCCAATGCAAATTCTACAGGAACGGTGTAACTTCCTGAATCAACAGCACTAGTTCCTGTTACACTCCAGCATTCATGTGTGGTCTCCCATTCAAACACTAACCCCACCTAGCCCTGCTTAGCTCATACGAACTGACAGGATCACAGTGTAAGCAGGGGAATAGTCCCGCTATTGTGGGGAACTTTCCTGGCTTCTGCACTACCCCCGTGAAGTGGGCTAACGAAAGGATCTGAGTCCTCGCTCCCACTTCCTTTACCCAGTGGCCTCCCTGCCCTTGAGGACGCCCCTTCCACTCTCCTGTCTGGCAGATCCCTTGTAACCCCAACAAGGCTGGGCCCAGGATTCCTGGGGGGCTCGACCCCCAACCCTGCTGTGGTCACCTAGGAGAGGGGCTAGGGTGTCCCCACTCCAGGGTGCGCTCTCTGCACTGGGCACTTCTCTGACCCACTGACCATTACATACAAGTTAAAGCAAATGCAAGTTATTTAATCAACAATTAGTTTTAAAAAGAATAAGGAAAAATGGGAAAAGTTAAAGAAAACACATCACCCCACTCTGTGGCAGGGAACACCACAAACAGTGTCTCTGGAATGTCCGGGCAGTTCACAGTCTGTTCCTTATAAGTCCCCAGGCCCCCTGCTCAGGCCCTGGCTGTGCTGTAGGGATGCTGTGGGTTGGATACTTGCTCTGGTGGCCACATGCTCTTAGGATCTAAGTGGTAGGACCCTTCTTCCCGGTGTCGCCCCCGCCCTGTCGGGGTTACGATCCAAGCCTGGCCTGCAGAGCCTCTTGGCTGAGGAGTCTCCCTGTGCTGGGCCCACTGCCCAGGGTCCCCCTCGGTGCCCCCAGCTGCTCACCGCACCCAGCTCCGGACTGCTCCAGCCCCAGCTCCACCACTCGGTCTCTGCACTGCTGCTGCTGCTCTGCCTCCAGCTCCCTGGGCTGCTTCTTTGGCCTCTCTGGCTCTGGTTGCTGCAGCTCTGCTCCCAGGGCAAGTCTGCTCTCTCTGGGCTGTGCCTCTGGCTTTGGGGCTGCAGCTCTGCTCCCAGGACAGGGTCTGCTCTCTCTGGGCTGCTATTCTGGTCCCTCTGGATCTGGCACATCTCTGCTCCCCAGCTCAGCTTGGGCCCCTGCTTTCTCCTTAGCTCAGCCCCACTCCGTCTGACCCAGGCAAATCCAGCTCACACAGAGGACGGGACCTCCCAGGCCTCCTGACTCCCTGATTAGCCCGCCCTGTCATTCAGGCTGACCTGGAGCATTGGGCTCTCCCCATTGTTCCTGGGGGCTGTCAGTCTCAGGGTCCTGATTCCCCATCGACCCTTCCCCCTTCTTAGTACTGGGAGCTAGCAACGAAAACACCCCCACTGAATGTTAGTAAGAGGGCAACAGTCCCCTTACAACAGCACAGCAGCAGAGCTTGCTCCCAGCCCAGGCAGACAGCATGGCCAGAGGCTGCCTGGGAGAGTGCATTAGTGGCTCCACATGCCAGGGGGACTGGAACAGAGCCGCCCCCGCCAGGTAACGTGGGATGGGGAGGGGACGGGAGAGCGCGGGGCCCCCAGGCTGGGTGGGGACGAGTCATGTGGGGGGTCACATGTGGAGAGGGATGGGGAGGAGTCATGTGAGGGGGTCATGTGCGGGACGGGGACAAATCACGGGGGGGTCACATGCCCCCCTTCAGCTGGTGCCCCCTTTGTGTCCCTCCCTCTAGTCACTCATGGCTCAAATTGTACCCCTTGGTGGCTTGCATTGTCTTTGACTGAAAGCCGTGCATGTCAGTAAAGCTCAGATGAGAACAGTCCTGCCCATGGGACAGGGGATTGTAAATTCAAGCCCTGCTGGAGGATACAAGTGCATACCCAATGCTAATGTGGGCATGCTATGATGGGGGGAGAAATGAAGCACCATAATATGTGCTAGGTTACAAACACACACACACCTTTGCTAAAGCAAATATTGCATTTGAAAATTGTCTGTTAGTTAAGACTTTGACTTGGGGAGCAACGGGAGCAGAGCTGAGCCATTTGTGCTGCTGACGCCGGAGGCTCTCTGTTGGCACAGGACATAATGGCTCAGTTCAGACGTGGGCATGGAGGGGAGCGTGCTGCCCGGTGCACTTTAGTGCCCCTTTGAAAAGAAGTAGCATGTCTGTTCCAGCTGGTATGAACTGATGACCATGGCATGCTCGGCATGGGCCTGGTCAGGATTCTCAGCTGACATTCTGTACTCCTTTGAAGCTGGGTGAAGCGAGAGCCCTGTCCCCAACCTGAGCATTCTCCTGAGTGCTAGGTAGGGACCCTGTCCTGCTGTTCTACAAGGTAGAAGAGGAAAAAGATCCCCTGTACCATCATACCCACAGAGCAGACCCATGCTGTGCACAGCAAGAGTGACATCCCAGAGCTCAAATGTCCAGTTTCCAAGTACTCAGAACTCATGACTGGGGACAGATCTGCAGAAGTGCTCAGCTGTCATTTAGGCACCCAACTAAGGGCCAGATTTTCATGAGTGCTCGCACCCTGCCACAGCTCCCGCTTATGGACAGATTTGCAAAAGGGGTCAGCATCTAACATGCTATGCTCTTCGGAAATAGGGCCACTTGGAGCAGAGAGTAGAGATCTAGGGCCAAACTCATGGCCAAACTCCCACCCAAGTGGGAGCTCAGTTTTTTGGAACATCTGACCCTGACGGTAGGTTCAGAACTCTGTCTGAAAATTCCATCCCAAATGACTCATGTTGTCTCAGTCATTGTCTTAACTAGAAATATGATCAACACTTTTTTTAAGGTTAGAGAGAGAGCCACACTGTACCCTCTCCAACTCACCATGCATGGAAATGGTCCCGTTCCTCACAGCCAGGAATTTGGCCCCATATGGAAAGAAGGTTGCAGAATGAAAGCTTCCGTAGAGATGGATGTGGGCTTTGTCCCGGAGAGGTTTATCTGGGGATCCCACCTGAAATTTGCCACCATCAGATACCAGAATATAATGAGCATGGATTTCTATGGGTCCAGGGCCAGCCAACAAGAGCTTGCCACCTAAAAACAACAGAAGAGCAAAACACAACTGGTCACTCACATACAAACTTGCTAGTTCATGTCCAAAGGTGCTGCATATAACAGATACAAGAGATGAAGGAATACATGGTCTTGTGGGTCAGCCACTGGATTAAGAGTCAGGCAGTCTCAATTCAATTCCCAGCTATTCCACAGACTCCCCGTGTGATGCTGGGCAAGAAATACAGGCTGGGGTTTTCAAGCGAGCCAAAAGAAGTTGCGCCCCCTGCTCTCACAGAATTTGAATGGGGGGTTGGGGTCCCTTTGACAAAAACACTCCTAACTTCTCCATGCCTTTGCTCCACAACTGTAAAACAGGGATAACGATTCCTCTATATGTATTGTCCCTCTAGATTATAGACCATTGCCTCAAACATAAGCGGTCTTCACTTTCAAGGCCCTTTAAGTCAATCCCCACCCTACCTATCACCTCTCCTTTGCTATTGAACTGTCGACACTCATCTATGCCCATGATGCCAGCCTCTCTTGCCCACCCGTTACATTTTCTAACAAGCATGTTGGTGTTTTCTCTCATGCTTCACCTTGGAGAAGATTCCAGTAAACATCCACAAAGCTACCTCATTATCCACCTTCAAATCCTTCCTTAAAACTCTCCTTTGCCATGGTGCCTACAAAACATTTGACAATGGTCAGGCTGCTTGTGTGCAGAGACCACAGGCTACTAAGCTGACCAGTATTGTCTTATTGTTTCCTTGGGCTCCCCTACCTGCCTGTATCCAACTGTTGTCTCTTATCTTTTATTTAGGGGCAGGGACTGGGGTTTTTTGTCCCATATTTGTGCAATGCCTAACACAATGGGGTCCTGGTCCAGGACCGGGACTCTTTGGTACAATGGCAATACAAATAATTATCATAATTAAAAGAGGGGCTTTGGAACATAGGAATTTCCAAACTGGATTAGACTAGTGGGCCACAGAATCATAGAACTGTAGGATTGGAAGGAACCTGACTAGGTCATCTAGTCCAGTCCCTTGCACTCAAGGCAGGACTAAGTAACAACTAGACCATCCCTGACAGGTATTTGTGTAACCTACTCTTAAAAACCTCCAGTGAAGGAAAATCCACAACCTTCCTCGGCAACATTTTTTCCAGTGTTTAACAAGCCTGACAGGAAGTTTTTCCTAATGTCCAACCTAAACCTCCCTTGCTGCAATTTAAGCCCTTTGCTTCTTGTCCTAGCCTCAGTGGTATAGAGCACAATTTCTCGTCCTCCTCTTTATAACAATCTTTTCTGTACTTGAAAACGGTTATAATGTCCCCAGTCAGTCTTCTCTTCTCCAAACTAAACTAAACCCGTTTTTTTCAATCTTTCCTCAGAGGTCATGATTGCTAGACCTTTTACCATTTTTGTAGAGCTCCTATGGACTGTCTCTAATTTGTCCACATCTTACCTGAAAGGTGGCACCCAGAACTGGACACAATGCTCCAGTTGCGGCCTAATCAGTGTGGAGTAGAGTGGAAGAATTATTTCTTGTGTCTTGCTTACAACTCCTGCTGATTCATCCCAGTATTTCCCTATGTTTGCAATAGCAAATAACTGAGGTCTCTCATACCACTGTAGTATCTGTAGATATGGGGGTTTTAACAGCTACCACTGTGCCTGGGACCAGCTGGCTTTCCTTCTTCACAAGCTGCTCCCAACAGTTTTCATGCTAAGAGTTACAAAGGGCAAGGCTTCATGTTATTGTCGTTTAAAATAGCACGTCCTGTCCTTTCAGGGAAGAGAGAGAGAGAGACACAGAGAGAGAGTGTGTGTCTGTTTTTAATATGAAAAACAAAACAAAAACATGCACTGAACTGCCTGACACTTTCCTGGGGAGGTGGGAGGGTTGAATGTTGTAGTCTACTTAAAATTAAAAAGAAAAGATAAACCAATTAAATTCATTACTGGAATATTAGATAGGGCTTTGACCTCGAGAAGCTTCTGTTCAGAGAAGGGAGCTCAGTGATCTACAGCCAATATTTTAACCAGGGCTACCTACTGTTGACCAAACTAAGCCAAAGCCCCATGGTGCTTTGCAGCCAGGCCAAAGACAAACTGGAAAAACACTACTTGCATATTTAGTTACATACGCTGGTTAATGCTGCGGGGGCAGTTACCAGATAAGGAAAAAACTTGTGTCAAGGTTTGTGAAGCTGACTTTTGCAAGCAGACTGGGAAACCAGGTCTCACAAACAGAACTATTAGCCAGGCATATAAATTGCTTTTGTGTTAACTACCAGAAAACAGATGCATTCAGCTCTGACAAGCAAAATGTATCAATCAAAGCCTGGGAGGAGTTGTAGCTATAAGTGTGATTAAAAAGGAGACATTTATGCTACCAGAATAAGACAGTAGCTAATAGAGAATAAGTACAGTACATGCTATTTAGAATGCTTTATTTTCATGCTGAATTGTATAACACTAAAAGTGTTCTATAGTTAGACGCTGTAACCTTTGCATGACTCCACTGTGTATAATATAAGAGTATCACCAGTCTTGAGAAATATACTTAACCAACTAACCTCTAGGTATTCATGCTATGCCTGGCTACTACGGATCGTCTGTCTTGCAAATGTGTATGGAGCCAGATAACCAAAGTCTCTAAGGTTTGTGTGTCACTGTTAGCAGGGTGCGGGGGACTGGACTAGATGACCTCTGGAGGGCCCTTCCAGTTCTATGATTCTATGAATATCATATACTATAACATATATATTACATGGTTTTGTAGAACTATGAATTTTATTCATGTTAAGTTTTTTCCCAGATGCCTTTTACTTATGTTAAGCTGTTTAACCAAAGGGAGACATGAAATGTTGTACATCAGTGTTAGGTGCAGTCATTCCAGAGGGACAGGACAAGACAAACAAGTTTGTGGATGCTTAACTAACATGCCCTCTATACCCAACTATTGCAAGTGCAGGATGTCACTGAAATTTTGCAAAAAGAAAAGGAGGACTTGTGGCACCTTAGAGACTAACCAATTTATTTGAGCATAAGCTTTCATGAGCTACAGCTCACTTCATCAGATGCATTCAGTGGAAAATTTCTGGATTGCTATGGTCAAATAAGATAAAAAACTTGTTTTCAATTTCTGTCCTGTTTATTGTAGGGTCTGTGTAAGCATATCACAAAGTGTTCAAAAGCTTCTCAAAGAAGACAGATAAAACTAGCTTTAAAGTAATGCAAAGAAATAGTGAGACCTTCATCTATTGTATATCGTATATAGAGAAGTAGAATGAAGCTCAGATTTTGAGACAGTTGACCTGCTGCGTTGCTGTCTCCCAGATGGGTTGGCAATGTATTGGCCTTCCTATCTGTATTATGCTGTATTAATCTTTGACTAATCATCGTTAATTAGTAAAGTTGATTAAGCCTAGCTACTTGACACCTCGCTATTGAATTAAATTGAACCCACAACACTACCAACAACATGTTTTTCCTCTCAGACTGTGATAAATCCTGTGTACTCAGGGCAGGTGTGCTTCTGCAGTGGGCTGAACAGACTGGTGAGGCTAGCCCTTTGTTCTCTCATCTCTAGCCCCTGAAGCCAATGGGACTACTCATATGAGTACCAGCTCACTAGTGCGAGAAAGGGGGTTTGCAATCTGGCCTTTTCACGAAAATGGCTTTCCCATAATCTGATGGGAGCAAGTACAATTCCAATGGCTGGAAGTTAAAGATATACAAAGGCAACACTGGGCTAGGTGCCATGTGAATATACAAGAAGACATAGTCATTGCCTCAAAAACCTAAGACGACAAAGACAGACAATGAATGGGTGACCTGAAGCAGCTAAAAGGTGATGTGTTCCAAAGGGCGTTGATAGGCATGTCACCACTTTTGAATGTGTATATTCTATGAACAATCCCCAGCGAACTTTCTAACAAATCACAGTTGGTTTCTTCTAAAAATGTGCGTGTGTGCACGCGCGCGCATGCTGTTACAGGGTCGGCCGCATCCCAAGCACCACCCTCGTCACTTGGAGTCGCTCTGTGACTCCCTGCCTCAGTTTCTCCTCTTCAGAAACCTTAATAAACTCTGCACAATCCTTTTGTCTAATAACACTCCCTTCTCTCACAGTCTATTTTGTTTATATAACATTCAAAACAAAATTCAGTCCTGGAGCTTCTCTTCCCCCTCTTCTCCCCTGAAGTCTGCTCTCGCAGCTCTTGCCTGCCTTGGCAGGCCACTCTCATCCCTACAGAGCAGAACTGAACCCTAACACCTGATATTTTCAAAACTGCAGAGCCCCCACACCTATCACTGAAGCCAACAGAAGCCAAGTCCTTCTGAAAATCAGTCCAAGAGCAGAGACAACGAATCCTTGGGAGTTAAGAAACAACAGCTTAATAACAGTTAAAAGCAAAGACTGGCAAATATTCAGGCTCAGTCATTTGAGTCATTTAATTATAACCTATATACAAACTTACTAGCACTTATGCCCTTACATTGTTTGTTATGGCTGCACAAGAGAGCCTGGAATGTCCTACAAGGGACCTTGGGGTAATTTTATAAAAATCAATCAACTATTGTTATGGTAGCCTCCCCACCAATTCAAATAAATACAATTAAACCCATAATCTCTTCTGTGCTGTGATATGGAGACCAAACACATCTCTTTCAAATGGGAGAGAAAAGAAACATTCTGAGGCTATTTGATGTTTGGTGAGAACATCAAAACCATCACTTGTCTCGATTAAACCAGCAATTGGCCTTCACCTCCAGGCCTGGAAACAATTTTTTTCCCATCCTCTTTTAAAAAAAAAACAAAACAAAACTAAATCTGAGGCACTGCCCCCTTTCCCAGATGGAAAAGAAATCCAACCAACAGCTAGAAAAACTGATAGAACAGTAAAGAAAACAAACCAGAAAATAAGATAGGGTCCACTTAGGTACTCTTTCACTTGAACCACCGACTGCACCAGAAGAATGATGAAGGGACTGGTGCGGGATAGACAGATATTTCTGCTCTGAAGTC